GAGCAACTTGCTGATATCTTCACAAAGGCACTGGATTCTCAATCAACTGCTTACATTATCGGAGAACTGGGAATGATTTCCTTGTAATTAATTTTGATGTTTAATTGTGCTAATGTTTGATATTGTCTTATAAGCTGATGTACATTGTGCTGATGATGACATACTGATGATATTTGCTACTGAGCACTTTGGTTTGATTTCTTATCTTTATCTCTTCTTCAAGTCTTCTAAACAAAAGTTGAATGATTCACTGTATTAAACCATACACTGATAACAACTTGAAACTCTTTGCCGATGGTTAGATCAAAACACCCAGATCTATCACACGCAACTACCCCTTCTTACCAATCTTACACTGATTCTGTGATTCAGTGTGCGAAAACACACACTGATCAGAGTCTAAAAATCTTTGCCGATGGTTAGACCAAAAACACCAAGGTTTATCACACGCAACAATCCATTCTTTACCCTCCTCTTATTCAGTGCCTAATGATTCAGTAAGATAAACCACTCACTGATGAAGTCACAACACTCTGTGCCGATGGTTAGATAATGTAACTAGTATCTATCACACGCACCAATCTCCTTGCTAGCCCCGATTAAGCAAGTTGTACCTTGAATTGACGGAGAAATATTCTCAGCACGTAACTTTTGTGACACTGAGCTCAGCGCTTCCGCAAACACTGATTGACGTTTCACCTTCAGTCAACGGCTTTTTTATCCAACGGCTATTTTCTACTCTGACAGGTTGTTACGATGTGCCGTTATTCTTAATAAAGATAATCATCACCTTTTTAATGAAGATAATTATTACCTTTTTAAAAACCCACTTTTCATTCCATATTTAAACCTCTTTCTCCTTGGTTTAATTTTTCCTTCCAAAACCTTGAACTTTTCTCAAAAACCCTAGAATTCTCAAATACTCTCCAATGGCGGCATCTCTGTTCACATACTCCTCAACCTCTCGAAGAGTCGTTCCTGCCCCAAACTCTCCTCCACTTCCAATTCACATCAAGGCAACCAATGTCGTCTTCAACCCTGACATTCCAGAGGTTCATCGAGGTCTTGGACTCGATGATTTCGTCAATTTCTTGGCTTCTTGCCGCCTTCGATATGCAATCAGTGATGTACCGTCCGAGTTCTTCCCTGAACAAGTATGTGAGTTTTACTATACTGCAACAGTTAATGAAGAAAACAATGCCATCACCGGAACCATTGGTCATGGCAGACATCTGTCTTCATCACCGCAGAACTACTCAGTGCTGCTTTAAGGTTACCAATTTTCGAACCCTTTTCTGAACCTCCAACTATTGAAAGATGTAAACGAATATTTGATCAACTGGGCTATGATCATTCAAAGGCTGGTACTCGATCAGCTCTTATTTTGCGTCAGTGCATGACCCCAGGCTGGAAGTTTTTCACTGGTGCTTTATGCAAGTGTGTGGGTCACAAGTCTCGCAGTGGTGATCAATTGAGCAATTATGAGCAACAAGTCGTCTGCTCCCTTCTTCTCAACAAAAGATTAGATTATGGGGCACTATTCTTTGATCAGCTTGTTCAGCTTCTACGTGAAAATGTGTGTGCTGATCATGTTCCCTTTCCACGCTGGATTGCCCTGGTGTTCGACAAATTCTTCGCTGCTGACTACTTTTCTCACTCTGGGAATCCAATCCAATGCCCTCGAATGTCCGTTCGTATGTATCAGGATGATCCTTTGGATACTGACATTGGAATCTCCGATAGGATGAGAGAATGGATTGCCAATCCATACACTATGCCTTCTCTCACCGCTGACACTGATGAAGGAGGTGCTGATGGTAATCGTATGGATCGTGCTGATCAAGAGGTGGAACATCATGATGGCGGCCATTTCTCCCCTCAACTTTCTCATCACCTCATCTCGGCCACTGGCAAAGCCTCCTCAGCACCACAGGATTCCATGCCTCTGGGGGAGCAACCATCACAGGGGGAGCATCAGTCTCAGGGGGAGCATCCATCACCAGCAGCTCACCACTTCTCTCCAAGGATGCAACCTAGCTCTCCAGTTGCCCCAGGTACCTCAATGGTTCAAATTCCCCTTCAGCATTTTCTGAACTGATGTCACTGACTCGGGACATGAGTCAGCGTCTGCTTCGTATTGAGGCTGATGTTCAACAAATCAAGGAGGTTCTCTTACTTACTCCTCCCTCTAGTCCCAAATCTAATGATGTCAAAAAGGGGGAGATACTGATGATGATGCTGATGCTGATGATCATGCTGATGGTGAACCAAATGCTCATGCTGATGGTGAACCAAATGAGAAAGACACAGAACCTGCTGACAACACTATCTTTCAGCATGAATCACCCAACCCCATTCCTGAATCTGATTCTGCGGGGCATAATAGTCCAGCAGCTACTGAAAAATTGTTTGAAGACAGTGAGCATGATGAACCTGATGATGAATGTCAAATTCTTGACATGAACTTCATTGATCCTCTCATTCCAGTTCAGCAAGAAAGCTTAGATGACCTTGAAGAATCTCATCCGATATTAGCCGATCCTATTGCTGATCCCATCATTCCGGTCCAAGGAGAGGATTCGGACATTGCAGTGAAGAATCTCATCCGCTGTCTCGAAAGTGGAAGGTAGCAGATACTGACTTGGATCATTCTCAAACTGATACTTCTTCAACTGTGAAGAAACCCAAGTCCATTGTCAGTATTTCAAACCTTGCCACTGAATGGAACATGTCCCCTGATCAAGTCAAGCAAATTCTTGATGAAGCCAATCGAGCTCAGCTTCTAAAGAACATTGCTCAAGCTGATGAATCTCTTATTCAGCACAAACTTCAGGCCAAGGGATCTTTTGAAGCTCAGATGCAGAAGTTCCTGGAATTTCAGTCCAAGGCTCAGTCTTCTCAACCTCCTCCTAGCTCTAGCAAGCCTAAGACTGACAGTGTTCTTGACCGGATTGATCGAAAGAGATTTGAAGATGTTTTTAATCGGCGAATGTGTGGAGATAAGATCATCAAAGTCAAAGCTTCTAAACCTCGAAACGAGAAAATCCTTACGTTGCTGATCACTCGTCAAGGTCCTCAGCACTCATATACTGAAGTTGTCAAGAGGGATGAGCTGATTAGATATGGGTATTCGGAATGGATGGAACTGCTCGATCTTGCATCCAAGCAAACCTCAGCTCACTCTTCAGAACTGACTTGTGCTCTTCATCTGCTGATCAAGAAAGTTCAGCGTTTGGATCTTGTTCCTAAAGAACGACCTCAGCATCAAGGCCAAAGGTCGTCAGTTCCTAGATCTCGAAGAACCAAGTTTCATGTTGATGGTGAAGATGTATTGGTTCTAGACTTTGGTGCTGGTGTAATTAACAATTCACTTCCTCTAGGTGTTGATCCGGTTCAGCATCAATTCATCTCAGCTCCTGAACACGGGATGTTCTATCTAGACAAAAACAGGAGGATGTGCTTTCAACGAACTACTGAGATCCCAAAGGCTCCAACCACTCACCTTGTTGGCTTAAGGCAAATGTGCATGAGTCATCAAGATCTATCCGGAGAATTTCACATTCTTATTGCCATGGAGCTGCTGAACAGAAGACAGGAATTGCTGGACAGTCCTTACTGGCCAGTTAAAATTGAAGCTGAAGCTGAGTATGAAGAATTTCTTTCCAGAGGTGTCTTTATTTAGTTTGTTTTGAACATCATCATATTGGGGGAGATTGTAAGGTCAAACCTTGAAATATGATTATGTTTAAAACAGACTCAGCGTCAGCACATGTCTCAGCATCAGCACCAGCGTGTAACTGCTCAGTTTGTATTAGTTTAGTTTATTCAGTGCATTGTAACAAATCATGTATTTATTCTGTTTCCTTAGTTATCTTGATTTATTAGCTAGCGTATCCCTGTATTGTAGGGATTGTCTAGAATAACAGTATATATTATCTTGTACAGGTTTGTGAATCATCACGCCTTTCACAAACCCTAATCGTCGCTTTGTGCACACGATAATCTCTTTGTGAGATTATCTTTCTTAGTGAAAGTTTTTCTTCATGAATTTCTATTGTTCTTATTTATTGTCTTTGTTTGATATATCGATTGATCTAAAGGCCTCTTCAATATAGATGGGTACCAAAGGTGAAAACTCCTAAATCTTCTTATGACTCTAATATTTCATCGTCTTCTGTTTGTGATAAATAAGATATGTCATGGGAAATAGTACCTTTCACTGATGACAAAGGTCGACCCAGCTTCAAAATCGACTGGGTTCCAAAGACCAACTGATCCCGCTCTGTGTTAGAGCAGCTATGGAGGCATATCATCAAACATCAGTTTGTTGGTAGTGGTTGATCCTGGCATATGATTGGGGACATCTCTCAACTGTACAACACTCATAACAATATTTGAGAATATGTGTCCTTTGCGGGAATGGAAGAAAAGAAGGGATCACATGGGGTTAGTTGTCAAACCCCAAAACCGAGAACGGCGGAAACGTTCTGGGGCGGAGGACGTCATGTAATGTATCATAACAATGCTAAGTAGTAAACAAGCAACAACATCATCCATTGCATTAATAGTATAATTGTAATTACATTTGAGTTCTTTCATAGTATAATTCTACAAAAATGAATATTCAGAAATAAAAGACGAGTCTTGATCGCTCCGTCTTCACAAAACCTGGTAGTCGTACCTGTCTATTTGTATCCTGGGAATACAAGTTATTTTGAAAGCGAGTATCAGCAATAATGCTGGTGAGTTCATAAGTATTTATGTGACTTGATTTGTAAAGCTGTAAAGAAAGACATGTAATTGTTTGAAAGAAAGTTTGTACCAACGAATATGTTTGTAAGTAATTGTAAACGTTTGAAACTTCTAGAAAATCCCATATTTTCTACTAGTATAAAGTGTAGCCTTCTACCAAGGCTCGACTGTTTTAAATGTTTGTTTCAAAAATCCAATATGTGTTCGTATGTAGATGGTACATTAAAAGTCCCAAAATGAAACTACCGTAATGTTTTTCATGTCTAAAATAGTAGATTTGTGTACAGTTATAATTGCTAAGGTATATGAAAACTCCGTAAATCAATCTTGTTTTTATACTTTTTATGTGAGTTTTATAACCATGCTAATGACCCTGATGGCCTGTAACAACGTTCTTCAGGCGTTGGAACTGTTATGACATTTGTCACCCCAGGCCTGCCGGCCTAGCTGTAGCTAACAGCTTAGGTGTGGGATTGTCAATCCCGTATAGATCTATACACAAGTATCACGCTCCCCCTCCAAGGGATTATGGTATATAATACAGGACTTAAAATGCATACTCGAACGTACGTGAAGCTGAAATGTCTCACAATTCTTAGTACTAAATAGATTTACGTATGAAAGTCCATTTTGTTTTTGTATATGAATATACCTTCTTGATATGGTACTTGTAGTATATAAAATGTTATGAATATCTAGTATACTATCTCATGTAATTGTATTCCTTGAAATGGTATGTCTTGAAGTTGTAAGCTTCTGTAATTGTATGTCTTAAGATTGTATGCCTTTTTAATCGTATATAATTGTATCTCTTCGCACAGTATGTAATGTATTTGTATTGACTCATGAATAGACTGAATCTTGTATAACTCTTGGTACTCGGAATGGTAAATAGTATGTCTTAACTATACCTATTATAGTTATTGATAATGTGTGTGTATAATTCGAAATATGCCTTTGCTACTCAAAGGTACTGAACGAACTGACGGAAACTTTCATGTCTATATATGTACATATATATAACTAATATTTAGACGACCTTCAGACGGATAACCGATGCCCTAAGGCCACATCCCAACGAGGAAAAGGAAATAAAGCGAGCTAGCCGTCCTAAATCCTTCAAACATTACTTATATAAGTATACACGTATAGGCAAGCACAAAAATATAAAATAAGTTTTGTAAAACCTTTGAAAAGTTTAATAAATAAGAAAATGATGACTTGATGTCAGTTTCTAAAATGATTTGAAAGTAGTTTGTTTGATAAGAACAGTTTTAAATATAGGAAGACCTTTGTTTGAAACATGATTCTAACAGTGTTTGAAAGGAATCATAAATTATATAAGACAGTTTGATAAAGAGTTTTTAACATGTATAAATGTTTGTCGTAGACTATTATAGTTTTTCCAAAGGTTCGTTTCGTTTGTATAGTAACCCTAGTGTAATGCTCACTTGTTATGAAATGTGTAACTTTTTGTGGTGACATAAATGAACACCTGTACTCAAGGTATAAATAAACTGTTTGATTCGTATACGTATAACAACATATTTAATTTCAATATATATCAGACGATATCTTGTTATGTTTTCCGTACGAAAGATTCATATAATGGTTGTGAATCACATATGATTTACTTGATAGAAATGAGTATTTTGTGAAACTTTGAGTTACACACGATAATAATCGTGTGTTTACTTGTATTCCCCCCCTTAAAAGTGTATATTAAAACAATATTGATAAACATTTAAAAATGTAGATTATAGGGGTATGAACTCACTCGTTAAGTTTGAAGAGAGGGGCTAGGGTTGAGCAGAACTTCGACCGCGGATGGTTGCGTCGTCGGCTCTTCGGGGATCTCTGCAGCGTAAATCTTTCGTCGGGGGCTCGAGTGCGGAAACCGAGGTGAGGAATGGTCTCTGGTGCTTGGAAAGGGGTGAGAGTATCTAGAGGTTTAGAATGTGTGCTTAAATTCGCAGCTGAACCTTTCTATTTATAGGCTGGAATTGCCTCGTACGCGGGGCGTAATTTTGGAGTACGCGGGGCGTACTCACGTACGCAGCGCGTACGTCGTTACGCTGGGCGTAAAAATGCGTCATGGCTTACGACTCGAGTCTAGCTAAGCGTAGCTTGGGCGGGCCGATGGGACTCGACTCTGGGTCTAGTACGCGGGGCGTACTCCCAGATTACGCGGGGCGTAATCCCTGCTTCCGACTTCTAAATTCCGTAACTTTCGCGTACGAGCTCCGTTTTTCGCGTTCTTTATATCCACGCGTAGGTGAGATTATGCTCTACAACTTTCATTTAGACTCCGTCGGCTAGTTTTGACTTTATTTTTAATGATATATTTTTAATAGGCCGGGCCTCCTAAAGTTCGTTAAAAATTCATAGGTTCTTTATTCGACGTCGGTTTTCGTTTGTCTTTTTATTGTTTTATTACTATTGTGGAGATCTTCAACTCTCATTTAGGTTGCGTTAGCTAATTAACACTCGATCTTCAATTCGAGTTTTTAGCCCTCTACTACCGTTACGAAACTTTGAAAATTTGTAACTTCTTCATACGAGGTCCAATTTGGGCGATCTTTTTATGCACGTTCACCTTTCAACGAGATCTACGACTTTTGTTTAGATACTTAAGGCTAAAATGCATTTTATTGATATTTTACTTTTACGTCCAATAATGTTTTAACGGCGGGTCGTAAATATACGAGTGGTTATAATTTCTTCAATATAACCCGGTTTTGAGCGTTCTTTATGTTTTTGGAAACCTTGGCATGATATCTAATATTTGATGCATCCCAACTTAGATACTTGAACACTTTATTTTCGAGGTTAATTTCGTTGTTTTTAGCTTTCGAGTGTTTACAATGCTTTTGGGAAA